ATGATTCATTAAAAAAAAAAAAAAAAAATTAATTTAAAAAGGACTTTTGCTCTGCAAAAAAAGAAGAAGAAAAAACCTCTTAAGGGGATGAAAAAGACAAGCTTGGAGACTGGGAGAAAATATCTGCAAACTACAGATCTGACAAAATACTCATATCTAGAACATATAATGAGCTCTTGAAAGTCAACAGTTAAAAAATCTAATCAGAAACTGGGCAAGACATGACATTTATTTCACTGAAGAAGATATATAGAGAGCAAATTAACACATGAAAATATGTTCAACATCATTAGCCATTAGAGAAATGGAAATTAAAAATCACAATGAAATATCAGTACACGTCTACCTAAATGGCTAAAATAAAAAATTGTGATAACACAAAATGCTTTTGATTAGAGAAACTGAATCACCCCTGCATTGCTGGTAGGAATGTGAAATGGTACAGCCACTCTGGAAAAGAGTGTAGCAATTTCTTACAAAATTAAACATGTAACTTACTATACAACTCAGCAATTATACTCTTGGAAATAATCCCTGAGAAATGAAAGTTTGTATTCACACAAAAACCTGTACACAATGTTTACAGCCATTTTATTTGTCATAGTCCAAAACTGGAAACAACCCAAATGTTTTTCAACGAGTGAATGGTTAAACAAACTGTGGCGCATCTAAGCCTTAGATTCTAAAGCATGGACTACTACACAAAATCATACAAATGTTAGAGATAAGCCTAAGGTTCTTTGGGAGTGCCGAGGAATGCCCAACCCAGCCCGAGAGAAGGTGGAGAAGAGGGTCAGGGAAGGCTTCCAGGAAGAAGTAGCACCTGAGCTTGTCTTGAAAAGTAAATAAGAGTTAGCTAGATCAAAAATGGGGGAAGAGTATTTCAGGTAGAGAAAACAGCATGTGCAAAGGCATGAAGCCTGAAGAGAACACTGTACATTTGAGGGCCTGTAAATGGTAATTAAACATGGTTGGAGCCCATTGAGGACTAGCAAGAGATGAGCCTGCAGATGTCAGCAGAATAGCCCTAGGGCCTTTAGGCTAAGGAGCCTCTCAACATCAGGTAACCACTGAAGGGTCTTAATTGGGAAGTGAGTGTCAAATCTGTGTTTTTGAGAGCTCTCTGTCAGACACTGGGAAAGGTAGTTTGGAGAATGGTGAGACGGACGACTGAGAGACCAATGTGGAGTCTGTTCCAATGTACCAGAGAATGTGCAAAAGGTTGTGGTAGCAGGGAAGGGGTGGAGGATGAGCACAGAAATGTTTGGTGAATCCTAGTAAGATGTTCACTGTTCACTGTAAAATGATGAGGGGCAGGGGAGAAGAGTTGCTTAGGAGGCATAATCCATTGGACATGGAGACCAGTTCCTGAAGGTGAGGGCATAGAAGACCTCTTCCCCACTGTCCCCTCTCTGCCTTGGTAACAATGCTGTGCACACTGCCCCCCACCCACTCCGTATCCTTCTCCTTGCCTAGTGCTTCTAGGTAGGCAGAGGTGATCACCTTCCAGATTACTCAGAACCAACACACTGATGCATAAACCAGAGGCCCATTTATTTATGTCCCATGGTGTAACAATGTAGCTTGGCCTTGGAATCTCTTGGGCAGAGTGTCCCCTTGTGAGGCCTCAGGACTCTGGGAAGCTGACTTGGAGAACATGCACTCAGAACAAAGGGGACTGGGTGTTCCTGGATTTCATTTAGGGGGTGGCAAAGCATGTCATCATGCAGAGAGTACCAGCTTGGAAGTCAGAAAGACCTAAGTTCAGAGTCCAACCCTGCCACAGTCCAAGGATGTGAAATCTTTTTTTTTTTTTTTAATATATCTTTATTGATTTCAGAGAGAGGAAAGGAGAGGGAGAGAGAGATAGAAACATCAATGATGAGAGAGTCATTGATCAGCTGCCTCCTGCATGCCCCCGACTGGGGATCAAGCCCGCAACCCGGGCATGTGCCCTGACCGGGAATCGAACTCCGATCGCCGGGATCCTAGGTCGACCCTCAACCACTGAGCCACCCCAGATGTGAAACCTTGAAGGCATTTCTTAACCACTCTGAGCTTGTTTCTTCAACTCTAACATGCCAATGGTGATTCTCTGCAATAAGACTTGTAAAAACTAAAAGAGATCATGAAGGGAAAGCTCCAGGCTCATGCTATATATGCCATTTGCGTTGGTTGTTTTCCACTGTCTCAAAAGTAAACTGCCTTTGACAAAATCCACCTCACTAGATACTGGAGTATTAGTGTCCTCCAGAAACGGTTGCTCTTTTGCTTAGACACTGCTGGATAAACAGAGAATCTTCTCTGAAACCCTTTTTTTGAAACCAGTTGTTCAAAGTTTCATTATCTCATGCCAGGCGTGTTACAACAACATGAAGAGGGACAGAAAGTTCTTCAGCCACTAACTGGGCTCAGGAGACATATCTATCCCATCAGAAATATACCCGCATCAATTTGCCGTAATGGGTGGTTACTTTTGCAGGTGGCTGATCTCATGCACCATGTACTGATTTTTTTGGTTTCAATTTCCAAAGTTGACCTTTTTCTATCCTTGCCCCCAGTGTCTGGGGCCCAGAGCTACCCATGCATTGACCACCTCTGAATGGGATCAGCTAGATCTCTGTTTTGTTGCTTCAAGTTGCCGTTTCAGAATAAGCTCTGCTGGGATCTCTAATGGAAAAGAAACTGCAGCCCTTTGGTTGTGGAGCAGAGTGGGCAGGACAGCGAGTCTAGGTCAAGGTTTGTGAACCTCTGTCCTAGGAAGAGGGCTGCCAGATTCCCTTCCTGCTTTTCCTTGTTTAAGAAATGCATAGAAGAATCAGTCTGAGGAGATAATTAATAGAAAATACAGCTGGCAGCCATTCCTGGCTCTGATTCATTGTGCACACTCCTGCAGTTGTTACCATGGTTTCAAGGCTGAAATTTTCTCCTCTCTGCCCGCCTGCCTGTCCTTCTGTTCATTTGTCACTCTGCTCCACAGACTCCTTCACTGTCAGTCTCCACAGACTGGTTCAGACTTAACCTTGTATAGGAGATAGCTTTTTTGTTGTTTTCTTTTTACAAATAACTTTTTACTGCCTTTTTCCTTGGGGAGAAAAACATGTCAGTTGACATAAACATAATATAAACAGAAAAAAATGAAAATTAGCCATAAACTCATAGTCCAGAACTAACACTTCAGATTTTATCATATTTCCCTCCTCACCTTTTTATGACGCATACTACATACTTGAGATGGAACATGATTTTGTATCTGTCTTTGAAGTGCTTTTAACCCTGAAACCCACAGGAGCCTTGTACCTATCCTTTATTCCTTTGAGCTACACGACTTCAGGCACTGCTTTGGGCAAACTCAGCCACTTGCACAGGCTTGCTTATTACTGTTGCTGCTGTTATCTTCTAGAATGCACATAGTTCTCACAACATTCCATGCACTAAGCGTTTGCCCAACACATCAGCCATTGAACACTGGCTCTTCACTGGGATCTGAACTCTGTTTCATTCCCACTCCAAGACTGCCATAGCTAATGGTCAAAGGAAAGGCTGTTCCCTATGAAAACCCAAAAGTAAAGGTGCCTCCTGAGCCTCCTGGCTGTGGATGAGCCGATGAACATGAGGCTACACTGTCATTGTCAAAGCCCACTCCACATCTCCCAGTTGGACTTGGCAAGTCAGTACAGGGGACCTGTGGAATCCTCCTCAGAAGTGAGGGAGCAATGAACCCTTCTACACTGGGTGTGCTCCCCACAGCTGATCACTCTGGATCTGAAACAAGGTGTGCCCAAGATGTGCTACATCCAGAAATCACAGCAGCACAGCATGAGGTGGCTGCTTGTTATGTATGAGTTGGAGGTGGGCATGGTCTCAGAAATACCTGACCCACGGGTCTGAGCACAAAACATCCCAAGTCCAGCAAGGCTGTCTCCAAAAACTAAACTCTTGAGCTGGACCACCTATAGGTTGTGGCAGGCAGTGGGAGTTGGCACAGCTATCTTGTGGAGTGGAGGAAAAGTCCTGACCTTATATATAAATTGGGGGAGGGGGTTTGCGTGGAAGGGGAGAAAGTGTGGGGGCATGAGTTCAAAACTCATTTATCTTAAGCTAACACTCTATGAACTAGTGATTGTTTTATGTGCTTTACAAATATGAACTTAATTAATTCTCTTAACACCCTGTAAGTAGGTGCTATCGTCATGAACTCCATTTTACAGATGATGAAACTGAGCCAGAGAGGTGAGGTTACTTCAAGGTCACAGAGCAAGATGGAGATGGTGGATCAGGGATTTGAAGCAAGAATCCATGCGTTTAACTACTATCTTTAGGCTGCACCATTATAGTAATTTTGGAAAATACACAACAACCTGTGCTAGCACCATTGGTCACATTTTGCTGGGTAGCCTTCCTGTTCTTTAATGCATATATTATATAGTACACTATATACTTTTTTTAAAAGGAATATTTTACAGCTTGGTCTGTATTCTTCCTTAAGGTCATTTTCCGTGTCTGTACTGTAAATGATAAATACCCTTTTCTGTGGTTGAAACATTATTTATTTACCCTACATTTAGTCTGCTCCCAATTTTTCACCATGACAGAGTTCTGCAAGAGGCAGAGGGGTGATGGCCTCTTTTGAAAACTACCATTTGAACCCAATCAACTAAAGCTGCAAAATGAAATTTAGACATGAAAAACCACAAAGAGCTTGTGTGTAGGAGTAGGCAGCCACCGAGGCTCTTCCTGCCTTCCCTTTATCTGGAGGCCATGCGGCATTGGCTAAAACCGGCGCCTTGGGACTGCAGAGGCCCGCGGCTTCCACTACGCACGCGTGGAGGGGGCAGAGGTGGGGGGAGAGCGGCGGAGCAGGGGAGACGGCGCAAATAAGGGCGTGTGAAAGAAGGAACAAAAAGCGCAGGGGCGGGGCTTCCTGCTTTGCTCTACCTTTGGCCCGGCCCCCAGTCCAAGCTTCTTATTGGTCAGGCATGTTCAACCCCATTGTTCTGAGCGCCAAAGGACTGGGTCTGCCCCAAGATATGCCTGTTTCAAGAGCCGCAGTAAAAACGGTCAGTTGCGATGCCGCTTTCAGGCATTTGTTTGGGACAGGCCCGTGGGGCCTGAAGAGGCTTTGTAGGGCAACAGTTACAGTTGAGAGTTCAACGTCAAGTTTCCTAGATGCCTCCTAAAGGAAAAAGCGGTTCTGGAAAAGGGAGTAAAGGTAGAGCGGTCAGAGCAACAGGGGAGAATGGGGTCGGGTGGGAAGTGAGGGGAGGGAGCTGGCCAGCGACTCCCGGGGTCAGGGACGGACGCAGCGGGTGGTCAGTGACTGACCAGGAAGTGATTAGAAACAATCAGTGTGAATTTCTCTGGAAAGCGTTAATTTAAAAAGCATGGAGCCCGCCGGGCGTGGCTCAGCGGTTGAGCATCGACCTAGGATCCAGGCGATTGGGGTTCGATTCCCGGTCAGGGCACATGCCCGGGTTGTCGGCTCGACCCCCAGTCCGGGGCGTGCAGGAGGCAGCCGATCAATGACTCTCTCATCATTGATGTTTCTATCTCTCTCTTTCCCTCTTCTTTCCTGTCTCGGAAATCAATAAAGATTTTTTTTTTAAAATAAAATTAAAATCATGGAAATTAGATGGTAGATAAAAAATGATAAAGGACTAAGAGAAAGTTTTGTTTGGGGAAAATTTGCGATTGAAGCTGACGTGAAGGATCCAGTCGAGTTAGAGAGGTAAAGGGACCGAGAATTGAGATTTAGGAGAAAATGGGGTCCAGGACAGAGGAGCTGTTGAGCTTTGAAGAGAAGGGACACCGGTTGCTTGAGGTCACAAAGAAAGCGATGGGGATGGGTGTGGTTGTAAAAATTAGGGCCAGAGAGGGGGAAGGTTTGGAGTTTATAGATCATACTTAATGACCTCAACTTCTTAATAAAGTGGAAGGCAAGGGTGATTTTTTAAGACTGAGGGGCAGGGACTGAGTAGGGGTCTTGAGAGTGGTAAAAGTTTGGAATAATCACAGAAGGTGATGGGAGAGGGAATGAAACACTAATAAAAGGATTGCCTTGAGGGCTGAAAGCCTAAGATTGAAGGCCATGAATTTGTAGAGGACACATTCTGCACAGTCATGATTTACCTAGTACAGAGCAACTGGCACAATATAGGATTGAAAAGAGGTGTAGCCTTGAGCCAAGGTTGAGGTTTTGTTGGACAATGATAATAGAAGGATAACAACACAAGGGAATTAAGAGTTAGAAGGAAGGGATCAAGTTCAGATGATCAAACATGGGGTCCAGACTGGGAAGGGAAGGAAAAGTCACATAGTACAGGGGAACATAGCTGGATAAAAGGACTGAAGGTGGGGGTGGTTTCTCTGAAGACAAAAGAGCCAGTGTTGTGGGAATGAGGCATGAAAAAGCTAGAACAACTGGAAATTGAAGCCAGAGACTGAACTACTAGTTCTGAGTGGCACAGTTTCATCGTGTGCCTCTGGGAGCAGGTGGCTTGGAGCAGAAAACATGGGCATTTGGGAGGAAGGTCCAGAAGTGTGAGGTTAGGTTGTTGGGTGATTCCTCAGTGTAGATGGGTAGATGGTGAGGTCACCTAAGATGAGAGCAGGAGTGTGCGTAGAAAGGAAGCCTGAAGCTGCTGCCCATGTTGTGTTGGACCTTTCTGTAAATATCAAGATGCAGTTTAAATGAGTCCTTATCATCTCTTCTCTAAAGGGGGAGCAGCATCTGGGAGTGACAGTTCTGACAAGAAGTCTCAGGGTCCCAAAGGTGGTGGCAATGCAGTAAAGGTGAGTTACTAGTTTCCTTTTTTTCATGTTAAATATAAATAACATATGTACATGTGTTATTTTGCACATGTACATATGCACATAAAAGGAAAAGATAGTTTGCTTAACTCATTCTAAGAGACTAGCCTAACACTGATATAAAAGCAAGATAATACAAAATTGGAAAATATAGACCAATCTCATTTATGAAAAGTAATTCCTTTTAAAATATTTTTCACATTGTTTTTCAGACATCAAGAATTTCTTCATACTTTAGTGTTGTTTCTTAAACGTATTGTTATATCTTACCAGTAGTGAATGAATTGTTTCTTAGGACAAATATCTTATAAAACCAAAACCTTAGATAAACAGGCAAAGGCACAGGTCTCATTAGGTAGCTGCTCTGCTGGTTAGCTACAAGCCAGGGCCCTGACCATGAAAATGGGGGTAGGAGACAATCACAAATAATTACGTGAAGGACTTGACCAAGTCCCAGAGGAATGTCTGCCCTGGGAAAATATAATCTGCAAACAAAACTATACTACTTAGTGCTTTGTAACAGGGCATTTTCCATGTTTCAGTCAGGATATGGGATCCCATACTTTGAATCATTCATTCAGTAAGGATTTAGTGACTCTGCTCCGGCACCAAGCAGTGTACTAAGTTCTGGGTATTAAACAAATATTCCAGCTGGTGTGGCTCAGTTGGTTGAGCATCATCCCATGCACCAGGAGGTCGATGGTTCAGTTCCAGGCCAGGGCACATGCCCTGGTTGTGGGCTTGATCCACAGTAGAGGGCGTGCAGGAGGCAGCAGATTGATATTTCTCTCTCATTGCTGTTTCTGTCTCCCTCTCCTTCCTCTCTATGAAATCAATAAAAACATATTTTTTGAAGAACAGATAAGAGATGGTTTCTGTTATCCCAGTCTAGTTGGGAGTAGTTAGGTAAAGAAATAAATTTGATTGCTGTATGATAAGTGCAGTAGTGGAATTATATCATATAAATCCAATCATACACATGCAGCTGGCGGGGGGGGGATGTAAATAGTGAGAGAGCCATTCTGCCCACTTTTCTACTCAATGAACCCATGGTCCAGAGAGAGGATGAGATAGGAGACATGAATCTGCTTTTCCATAGTTGACTTCCATTCTTGCATGAGCTTCCAAACTCATCAAGTGGGATTCTGGTATCCAAAGATAAGTTTTCATAAAACATGGCCTCCTAAATATAAACTAGCTAGTTCAATCTGGCATTCAGCTGAAGAAGTGAGCATTGTTATAAAACAGGTCAGGAGACAAGCTATGTTGGGCTTAATGAGGGCTGGCATGGTGGTCTCCAGTGTGACATTTTCATAAGGAATGTTGTAGGGTAATTTGGGCTATGTGCAGTTTTTATCTTACATGCTGACTTTTACTAGCACCTAACCGAAGGGACTGCTCCACTGCATATGGCTTCAAAGAGGCACCTTGCCCTTCCTGGGAAAAAGTAAGTTCAGTGGGACTATACATGAGGTATATGGAAAAGAGTGGCATGGGAAGTTGATTAGGGTTAAGCTTTTACTTTTGAGATAATTTTAGACTCACATTCAATTTGTAAGAAATAATGCATGGCCCGGCCGGCGTGGCTTAGCAGTTGAGCATCAATTTATGATCCAGGAGATCGTGGTTAGGTTCCTGGTTGGGGCACATGCCTGGATTTTGGGCTCAATCCTCAGTCCAGGGCGTGCAGGAGGCAGCCAATCAATGACTCTGTCATCATTGATGTTTCTCTTTCTCCTCCTTTCCTCTCCCTGAAATCAATAGAAACGTATTTTTTTAAAAAGAAATAATGCATGTACCTCTTACCCAGTTTCCCTCAATGGTAGTATCTTACAAAACTCTAGTACAGTAGCACAACCAGGAGACAAACATTGATACGTGTCAGGAACCAGCCTGAAAGACGAACAAACCTGAGTTCGAGCGGTGGGAATTAAAGAGACAAACACAGTTATGGGATCAGGAGGGCTGCCCTCCAATGAGGTGCAGCCTCAAATGGCTTCAACGCCTTTATTATATGTGAGTAACAAACAACTGGTAAGGAAGTGAGGGTGATACAAGGTAGTTCTTTCATGGCTGCACAAACACACTTTCAGCGTAAACATCCTGCCTCCTGCATGAGCTCAGACCTTTGTAACTATCTTCATTTCGGCTCCCTACAGGAACCTGCGGGGAGGGTTGAGTCCCTGGCTCCAGGCCCTCAGGCTACGTGGACCATGTCCAGACAGGTAGCGGGCTCTCAATATCAAGGGTAACTGTGGGGAAGGTCGAGTCCCTGACTCCGGACCCTCAGGTGGCGTGGACCATGTCCAGACACGTCACCAGCTCCCAACAGATACAGTTAAGATACAGAGCCTTTCTGTCACCTCGGGTATCCCTCCTGTTGTCCTTTTATAATCACACCTACCTCTCTCCCACCCCCACCCCTACCTCTGCGTCCTCCTTTAACCCCTGGGAGCAACTAATCTGATTTCCATTTCTGTAATTTTATCATTTCAAGAATGTTATATGAATGGAATGATACAGTACGTAACCTTTGGGGATTGGCTTTTTTCACTCGGCATAATTCTCTGGAGATTTTATTCCAGTTGTGTGTTATCAATAGTCTGTTCCTTTGTACTGCTGAGTAGTGTTCCATGGAATGGAAATGCCATAGTATGTTTACTGTTCACCTGCTGGAGGATAGCTGGGTTGTGACCAGTGTTTGTAAAGGCCCCAGCAGGGGAGAGACCCCAGGAACCCTCCAGCCTTTTAGGGTCTAGGTTCCGTCCACATCTTGCCATTCTGCTTTAGACCCCATTCCTGAGCCCACCCCTGCCCTGTGTGACTAGACTGTCCAGATTCTGAAACCCACTTGCTAACCACAGGTTCCCTCCTTTCCCTTCCCTTCCTTCCTCCCCCAATCCTGATCTCCTCTTCTCCACACACAGGCTTCCAGGCCCTCCAGCCCCCCTGGTTCTCCCCAGTTTCTCCCAGGCTTCGTGTCTGTTCTTTAAGCCCCATATGTCCTGTAAGCTGGAAATTAGATTGAAGGACTTGACCATTGGATTGAGGAGTCCCAACTTTTTTTCCTTTTGGTTGTCTTCTGTCATCTACCTGCCAAGCTACAACTCAGGATCAATCCAGTGGTCTGCTTTCTTTACACTTAAAGCCAGAACTGCTGGACCCTACTGAAGAGTCACACAGCTTTGAGGATTAGGGCCACTAATTCCTGGTCTCTAACCTTAGCTAAGGCCCTCAGTACTGCTCAGCATGTTGCCACTCACCTCAAGCCATCCGCCACCCTGCTCCAGTCAGTTAGCAGATAACCGCATTCAGTGCTTCTCACCCCTGGTGTACATCAGATTGAACTAGAGAGCTTCTAAAACTACCAATGCCTAGCATAGGGGTCCCACCCCAAATCAGCTGCCTCAGAATCTCTGGGGGATGGGGCCTAGACTTTGATATCATTTTTTCAAAGCTCTGGGGGTGATTCTGCTGTGCTGGCAGGGTTAGGAATCACTGATCCAGTCTCATAGCTTTGGTGTGAGGATTTCATGAGATAATGCATGTAAAGCAGTTAGCATAGTGCCTAGCAAATGTTAAGGACTCAGTAACTTTTAAATAATGTTATAACTTTCACAAGAAAACAAACATGGAGTACAGAACTCACTGGCTTTCCAGCCCCCTACCAACAAAATTATCTTCACCTGCATCTCTCTCCACTTTCTCCACCCCTTTCTCCCTTTGAGGCCAGCTGGTTTTTCAGACAGTACTCTGAATGCCAGACCTTGCTCTTTCATTTATCTCCACCCACTTTGTTTGCTCTGTCTTCAGCCTTCCCTCTTCACTGCATCTTACCCTTCATTCTTAAAAGTACACCCAGGGATCTTTAAAATATATACACGTCTGTGACCCTTTTCCTCTGACCAGAACCCTTTCTCCTTTTCTAACTCAGTGAGTTGGGGGAGAAACTCCACATGCTTTCCCTTCCCACTTCCCATTACCTTCCTCAGTCAGCCTGCTGCAGTCTGGTTTCTGCACCTTACTACTCTCCTGAAACTGATTTTGCTAAGGTCATCGATCAATCACTGCTAAATTAATTGTACTTCTTACCTGACCACTCTGCAGCATTTAACACTTGGCCATTTCCTCTTTGAAACTTCCTCTGGCCTTGGTTTCTGTTAACACACCTTTTTCTCCCATCCATCTGGCCCTTCCTTTTTAATGTGCTTTCTGAGCTTCTTTCTTTGCTTATTGCTTAAATATCAATATTCTCCAAGGATGTCTTTAGCTTACTTTCCTCCTCATCTTATTCTACGTATCCTCCCTGGGTAACCTTCTGCAGCATAAGCTACTCCCTCCATGCTGATTGCTCCCAAATTTTCTCTGTAGCTTGGTGCTCTTCTAAGTAAGACACTAGTCTTATATAGTTGCCAGTTGATCAGTCACACTTGAAAACCCCACAGGTACTACAGACTCATTATGTCTAACCTGTCAAACTGTCCAAACTAGAATATATGTTTATTCAAATATAAGATGGCAGACGGTATCCCCTTTCTGTGATCATGAATGTTGTGTGCACTTTCCCAGTAATTGAACTAGAATGTTGCTTTGTGAATGTAGAAGCTGAAAGGGGGTGGCAGTCTAGAAGCTGTTTTAGCAAGACCAAGTGAGGTCTGATGAACAATCTTAGTGTCCAGATCACTTGTCCCTGTCTCTCCTGGACAGTGCTGGACACATTCTGCAGAAGTTTGCTGCTCTGAGCCCTGCTTTGTGATACATTCTTTCCTTTGCTGTGTTCCTATTTCCTGTGTAGCTTCTCCAGTCAAGAAGCTACTCCTGTGGGTCTACGTTCCCCTCGCCCCCAATTTCAGTAGTTGAACCCTGAGGACAACCTTGGTTTGCTTGTCTCTAAATTTTAAGGCAGACGCCTTTAGCCCCACCCCAGTGTATCACCTACAGTATGAAACAAATAACAGATTCTACTTGAATAGGAAATGAGAAATCCTGTAAAACAGATATCTTGACAACATCATTTTTAAGGATATGGTGATTTTTTTAAAAACAGGGCTTTGTGTAAACATAGGTCAAATCTGACTACTATGAAATTGAGTATTCTTAATATTCAATGTAAGATACTTGTTCAAAGTGTTGAATTGTAGGGCAGCTTTATACGTTGGGCCTCTTGATAAATAGTATTTCCTAGTGGCGCCCTGGATGGTTGGTTGGAGCATTGTCCCATACACTGAAAGGTTGCAGGTTCGATTCCCAGTCCAGGCACATACCCAGGTTGTGGGTTCTATCCCTGGTTGGGGCATATGCGGGAGGCAACCAATCCATGTTTCTCTCTCACATTGATGTTTCTCTCTCTCCCTCTCTCTCTCTTCCTCTCTCTCCCTCTCTCCCTTTCTCTAAAATCAGTAAGAGTATTTCCTAGTGGGGTTTTTTCATATCATCTCCACTCTGATGAAATAATAACTAGCATTTATTGAATGCTAGCAGCATTATCTTAATCTTCACAACCCTATGAGAACACATAGGTACTGTTATTATCTCAGTGCACAAATGGGGAAAACACTTAGATGTTTAAAAACATGCCTAAGATCATACAGCAGAGTTGGGATTTGACTCCAAGATGCCAAATCTCAACCATTATCATGTTTCCTCTTCCTGTTTCCACTGAGTTACCTGGTAAAAGATGGGAGCTTCCCAGAGCCAGGTGCCTACTTTCCTTGTAAATTGGGGTCCTAAGATATTGTCTTGATATACAAAATGGGTTTGTCGTCATTTTGCCCAAGTGGCGGACTTCTAAGATTTTCCATTGCCATGAGCTAATACGATTTTTCACTAGTGAGGGTAATCCAGACATGACTGTTGTACTGTGAAGAAATGAATCATTTGCATCTCCAGGTATTATGTGAACATTCTTTTTCCTTGTAGGTCAGACACATTTTGTGTGAAAAACATGGAAAAATCATGGAAGCCTTGGAAAAGTTAAAGTCTGGAATGAGATTCAATGAAGTGGCCACACAATATAGTGAAGATAAAGCCAGGCAAGGGGTATGGTGCTCTTATCATTTTCAGTGATCTGTCCCCCAGCAGTAGGGATTACTGCTATATTCTGCCATTAATTTTAGCCATATCTTAGTTTAAAGATCTTAAAAACAGAAGTGTCCAACTCGTGAACAGTTGAACATGGGTCACCTATGTCTAAACCTAGGCATGACCAAACTTACACAGCTAACAGATACCCAGCAGCATTGTAAGTGCCATGTGTTCTGTATAGGGCTGGACCTCTTCCACCCATTTATCCTTGCCTAGCCTACTTCTTTACAGTTCAGATGAATAAACCTAGAAACTTTAGCATTCAAGCTACAGTAGAACTGTTCTCTCTTCAGGGCCGCTTGACATCACATATATTTTGGGTTTTTCAGGGCGACTTGGGTTGGATGACCAGAGGCTCCATGGTGGGACCATTTCAAGAAGCAGCATTTGCTTTGCCTGTAAGTGGGCTGGACAAGCCTGTGTTTACAGATCCTCCAGTTAAGACAAAATTTGGATATCATATTATTATGGTTGAAGGCAGAAAATAAAATTGTATGGAACACTGAATATGTTATATATTCTGTTTATTTCTTTAAAAGATGTTGAATAATCCTTGTATTTTATGAACTCTGTCATTGTGTGTTAGTAAATGCAAAATCACTGGCAGGGGGCAGGAGGAAGGGGGGACTGGATGAAAAAAAGTGAAGGGATTAGCCAAAGAACATATACGCATGACCCATAGACATAGACAGCAGTATGGTGATGGCCAGAGGGAAAGGGGGCAGGGGCTTGGTGGAGGGAGGCAAAGAGGGGGACAATCTGTAATACTGTCAACAATAAAGAAAAAATAACAGGTTGGTAAAGGTAAGTATACACTACAGTAGGTATTCAGTCGGTGGTTCTCAACGATAAGCAGACCCCTTTTAACCTGTCATTCCTTTTCTCCCAGAACTAGTTTATCTGATTCTCATTATATCCCATAAGTTAATTTAGAAACCTTCTCTAGGGAAGCCAAGCTCACATGATTCACATATTGAATTGGGCATCAAAAAGGCATATGAAAATCATAAAATAAGTTTTTAGACACTTGTTTTATTAGTTAGCCAACTTTGATCTGCCAGAACAATTATTATTAGTTCCATTGTCTTAACATAGTGCATGGCACATAATAGTCATTCAACATTAACTCTTTTCTTTTTAAATAAACATTTATTGGGGTGAGGGGGGAGGCACTCAGTTCTTTCATTATTTGTTTGTGCTAAACTGAGCAACCATTCACCAAGTGTTGGTTAAAGGCAGAATGTCAGCATAAAACATTCCCTCATCTTCAAATGTATAGTTTATGTTATGACTGGCCTTTCCAGGACTAATGTTCTGTGTATCTCTACATTTTTTAAATTTGTAATTCCATACTTATACAAAAAGCATAAAGAATATTATGAATACTATACTGCTTAAAAAAATAAAACTTTGCCAACAAAATTATGTGATTCTTTTTTAAAAATATGTATTTTTTTAATTGATTTCAGAGAGAGGAAGGGAGAGAGGGAGAAAGAAGCATCAAGTGATGAGAGAGAGGCACTGATCATCTGCCTCCTGCATGCCCCTTTTTGGGGATCGAGCCTGTAACCTGGGCATGTTCCCTGACCGGGAATTGAGCTGCGATTTCCTGGATCATAGGTCGATGCTCAACCGCTGAGCCACACCAGCCAGGCAACTTTGTGATTCTTGACCCTCATTTGACATGCCCACATTATGTCACACAGTTGCAACTTCACCGACAAACCTAAGTTTCCCATTTTAGAAGAGTTTCTGAGCACCCCAGAAAGTTATGCCTCCTAATTTTCCCCACTGAGCAAATGAAAGGCTGCCCCTGGGATCCTGATATGCCAGCATGATACAGAGATGTTCAAAATAGTAGGTATAAGATGAAACTGCTTTAAAAATCACTTTTGAAACAATGTCTCTAAATAAGGGCTATAAATTCTGAAAATCTTGAGGGAAATTCTGGAAAGCTATATGCAGAAGACACTACCTAGCTAGAGTTCTTTGCTCAGGACATTGGCTTACCCAGGATACTAAGTGAATGCCATTTGCATGTGTGTCACCCACAAAGGAAGTCGGAGTGTTAGAAAGGTGAGCTAGAAAAAGCGAACTAATTTCTGTGGCATGGAGAGAGAGTAGTTACAGCTAGCTTATGAGACAGTTGAGTAGGAATGGTCCTCTGACACCAGGCAAATCTTTGGGAAGTAAGCTTTTGACTGGCAACTAAGGATCTGAAGAAGTTGATAAATGAAAAAGTTAAGGATTTATACAGATTTATACACATGGCATATGCATTCAATTCAGCTTTGAAACTGAATCTTTTTCTTTTAAGTTCATTGCTTAAAGAGCAAACATTTTTTTTAAATATGTCTTTATTGATTGCAGAGAGAGGAAAGGAGAGGGAGACAAACAAACATTAATGAGAACGTCATTGATTAGCTGCCTCCTGCATGCCCCCCACTGGGGATCAAGCCCTCAACCCGGGCATGTGCTCTAACCCAGAATTGAACCACAATCTCCTGGATCATAAGTTGATGCTCAACCGCTGAGCCACATACTCGAGGCAAGAGCAAACATTATTTGAAAAAAAACCCATTCATAGTAAAACAATTGCAAATTAAAACCAAGATGAGATCCCGCTTTTTAACCTGTCAGATTGGCAAAGTTCAAAATGTTTAACATATTGTTGGTGAGGGTATGAGGAAATAGGTATTCATTCATTAATGGTAGAAATGTGTATTATAACCACTATGGAGAACAATATGGCAGTACCTATCAAAATTATAAATATATCCTTTGACCCAGCAACTCCATTTCTTGGAATTTCTCCTATGGGTATAATCACATGTATAAAAGGTACAAGGTTACACCCGGCCGGGCGTGGCTCAGTGGTTAAGCGTCGACCTAGGATCCAGGCGATCAGGGTTCGATTCCCGGTCAGGGCACATGCCCGGGTTGCGGGCTCGATCAGTGACTCTCTCATCATTGATGTTTCTATCTCTCTCTCTCCATCTCCTTTCCTCTCTCTGAAATCAATAAAGATATATTTTTTAAAAAAAAAAAGGTACAAGGATATTCATTACAGCATCAGTTGGAAACAAACTGGATGTCCATCAAAAGAAGATAAATTATGGTATATCTATTCAATAGAATATTATGCAGTTGTTAAAATTAAAAACAAAGGTGCAAACAGTATATATAGTGTACTACCATTTGGGTAAAAACATATATACTGGTGCTTATACATACATACATAGACTATCCTTGGAAATGGCAGTCCAGAACTGGGGGATGGGCAGGTATGAGACTTTACCTCATACCCTTAATAAGGGGTCTTAATATGTTTTGTGCCATGGAGCCATTTGGCAGTTTTCGTAAGGCTGTAGATCTCTTCTTAGGATGTTGGCTTTATTTTTTTTCAAAAAAATTTTTTTTAAAATTTCTCTTTATTGTTGAAAGCATTACAGATGTCCTTTTTTCCCCATTGATCCCCTACACTCTGTACCCCCTCCCAAGGCCTTCACCACACTATTATCTGCGTCCATGGGTTATGCATATGTACATATAAGGTCTTAGGTTAATCTCACCTCCCACCCCAAAGCCCCCTTCCCTCTGAGATTCGTCAGTCTGTTCCATGCTCTTATGTCTCTGGATCTATTTTGTTCATTGGTTTATTTTGTTCATTAGATTCCACATATGAGTAAGATCATGTGACACTTGTCTTTCTCTGACTGGCTTATTTCACTTAGCATAATACTCTCCAGGTCCCACCATGCTGTCTCAAAGGGTAAGAGATCCTTCTTTTTTACATCTGCATAGTATTCCATGGTGTACATGTCCGAGAAGATTCTTGATATGATTTCAATCTTCTTGAACTTATAGAGACTTGTTTTGTGCCCTAACATGTGGTCTATCTTTGAGAATATCCCATGTGCACTTGAGAAGAATGTATATTCTGCAGCTTTGGGGTGAAATGTTCTGTAAATGTCAGTTAAACCCATCTGATCTAGTGTGTCATTTAGAGTCACTTTTCCCTTGTTAGTTTTTTTGTCTGAAAGATCTATCCAGTAAAGTCAGTGGGTTGTTAAAGTCCCCTACTCTCCCTTAAAGTCCTTCAAAACGTTTTTTGTTTTTATTTTTATATTTGGGTGCTCCTGTATTGGGTGCATACATGTTTACCAGGGGTCTATCCTCTTGTTGGATCCATCCCTTTAGTATTATGTAGTGACCTTTATTTTCTCTTGTTATGGCCTTCATTTTGAAGTTTATTTTGTCAGATATGAGTATTGCTACCCCTGTGTGGTTTTTTTTTTTTTTTATTTCCATTTCCATGGAAAAATTTTTTCCGTCCCTTCACCCTCATCCTGTGTGTGTATTGTTCTGAGGCGGGTCTCTTGTACACAGCATATATTTGGGTCATGTGTTCTTATCCACTTAGCTACTCTATGTCTTTTGATTGGAGCATTTATACATTTAAGGTTATTGATAGATACTTATCTATTGCCATTTTAATTCTTTATGCCCATGTTTCTGTGTCTCTCTCTCTCTCTATTGCTACCTATTACAGCAGTCCCTTTAACATTTCTTGCAATGCTGGTTTGGTGGTGATTAACTCCCTTAGCCATTTTTTTCTTTTTTTTTGGGTCTGAGAAGCTCTTTATTTCACCATCTGTTTTGAATGATAGCCTTGCTGGATAGAGTATTCTTGGTTTCAGACCTTTGCTTTTCATTACCTCGAATACTTCATGCCATTCCCTTCTGGCCTGTAGAGTTTGTGATGAGAAGTCAGCTGACAGCCTTATGGGAGCCCCTTTGTAGGTAACAGATTGCTTTACTCTTGCTGCCTTTAAGATTCTTTGTCTTGAATTTTTGGCATTTTAACTATGATGTGTCTGGGCGTGGGCCTCTTTGGGTTCTTGCTTGGGACTCTGTGCCTCCTGAACGTGTGTGACTTTTTCCTTCACCAGATTAGGGAAGTTTTCTGCCATTATTTCTTCAAACAGGTTCTCTACCCCTNGTCTTGAATTTTTGGCATTTTAACTATGATGTGTCTGGGCGTGGGCCTCTTTGGGTTCTTGCTTGGGACTCTGTGCCTCCTGAACGTGTGTGACTTTTTCCTTCACCAGGTTAGGGAAGTTTTCTGCTATTATCTCTTCAAACAAATTCTCTATCCTTTGCTTATTCTCTTCTGCTCCTGGTACTATTATGATACAAATATTACTACATTCCATGTTGTCCCACAGCTCCCTNTAGATCTTCTGGCAGTCCTGTGATGTGAATGTTGTTATGTTTCATGTTGTCCAACAGCTTCTTTAAACTGTACTCCTGTTTTTTGTTTTTTCTTTTTGGTTTTCTGATTGATTTTTTTTTTTAATTTTTTTAATATATCTTTATTGATTTCAGAGAGAGAGGAAAGGAGAGGAAGAGACAGAAGCACCAATGATGAGAGAGTCATTGATCGAGCCCACAGCCCAGGCATGTGCCCCAACCGGGAATCAAACCCTGATCGCCTGGATACTAGG